TCTAGAACAGAGTGTAAAGTGTTCCGGAATGTCTTTAGGTATTTCTCTCTCCACAGCAGGTTCCAATGGCCAGTGTCTACAGAAACACAAATGTACCGTGCAATGCAAAGAGTATGAATAAAATGAGTATAAATATTTGTTGTAATGAAAGTTTGGTCAGTGCAGCCAACTAACAGTGAAACATTAGAAACACTGAGTACGTTTCCATGCACACTAATAGTTCGATATTAAACTGATTATGGCAGTAGGCCGAATATGGTATTTAGTCATGTAAACATCGTACTCTGCTCATCTTAATCGGCGTAAGGTCAAAATCGAAGTAAACGTACGCCGATTAATCTTTCAAATGATTAGGACATTTAAACAGCTTCATCTGCAGTTCCAGCGGTGTGTTTGATCTGCGCATCTGCCAGCGCCAGCAGCGCGAGACTCCCTCTTATGTACGAGTGAAGTGAGTTATGAAAAACTCACTAAAAAAAAGTATGCATTTTAGAAATAGTTTTCACATACAGACTTTATATGTCCAAACTCAGAATCAAATAGGCTTCCCAAAAAGAACATGGTCCGTGGTCGAATGTTTATTTTGTTTGGTGATTTTTTTTTTGTTGCATTTATCAAAGTCCCATCAGGTAGATTGTTTTCAGATCAGTCCATGCAAACACGATTACTAGGGAAATCATTCTTCTTGCAAAGCATGTAAACGTTTAAATCGAACTATTATATTAATCGGACTTTTCACAATAATTGTATTCTTGTGTGCATGTAACCGTACTCAATAAGGGCCCGATTCCAACCCGAGTTAATCGCATGTAAATAGAATGTAATGTATTTCCCTTTATATGAACTGTTCTCTCTATGCTGTATTCTGACCTTGAATTTAAACATGACAATAGCATGCTATTCACCCGCTATTCGTTCGTGGTGGAGATCAAATAAATGAAGGTGTGTCTACAGATATGCTGTATTCTGACCTTGACTTCATTCCCTCATAATTCCACCACCTTTATGCGCGAGGAAGGTAGCTTAGTGGTTAAGAGCGTTGTGCCAGTAACCGAAAGGTCGCTGGTTCTAATCCCCGAGCCGACTAGGTGAAAAATCTGTTGATGTGCCCTTAAGCAAGGCACTTAAACTCTAATTGCTCCTTTAAGTCACTATGGATAAGAGCGTCTGCCAAATGACTAAAATGTAAATGAAACCATGTGTAAGGTCTAGCAAAAAAGCATAGAAATAACAGTATTCTCCATGCACTGTAATTTACAACTTGATAAGAGTTATTGATAAGAGCTAGGTAAATTAGTAATCCGTTTGGATAAAGGGAATTGTAAATATAAATGACACTTGTTTTAGATCTATTTTACCATATAATTGCTGGAGACAAATGTGAAACCAGTCATATGGCAGCAAACAAACATATCAACAAACATATCAACTTTCCCACAGTAAAGTTTATGAAATGCTGTGCCATTATGCAGAATTCACGGGGGGGCCAGTATGAAAAATGTATGCACTCAATAACTGTAAATCGCTCTGGATAAGAGCGTTTGCTAAATGACAAAAAAAAAAAATAAAAATACATTGTTTAGTTTACCTTCATTTGGTTTAGCCTACATTATCATTCAATTTAATTACACTGTTAGTTCCTTCAGTTGGTATAGCCTACATTATCATTCCATTTGATTACATTGTTGGTTCCCTTCAGTTGGTATATCCTACATTATCATTCCATTTAATTACACTGTTTAGTTTACCTTCACTTGCTTCCTCTGCAAACGCCGTCACGGCCGTGGATCATTAGTAACAGTTGATAATATAAAATAAATATGTTAAATCGGCTAATTAAATCGTTATATAGTGGAGCGCAGACCAAGCAATAACAGTCTGAACCCGACGCATGGTGCAATACTTGGCCGTGTCGTCACACAGTTCCATGGTTGGTGCAGCCAATAGACGAGGGAGTAGCCTACTATGGTACACTGTGCTGCCTATTATAACTCTATGTACACTAATCTTCCAACAGCACCATGGGGTTAAAGAACTGAATGTGGCAACTTTCTGAATGAATCAAACAACAGTTTTCTTTCTTTAGTGCGTAAAGGCTCTCCTAACCAGTTCTTTATGATTCATAAATACTCTCCTAAACCTAGATAATCTACAAGATCAGAGGATTTTAAAAATCGACCAATTGGTGCCGAAACGGAGAAGAATATGCATGTACTTAGATGGCTTTTATTTAATTGATCCCTAATATTCAGAACCCGTTCTCTCAATATATTCTAGTGAGTCTGTCGACAAAATTCTAACTAAAAAAGGTACAGCGTATTTAAAGGGATGGCTTAAGATGAATGTACTGATTGAATGAAAACTCCACGAGAAAATCTGTTGGCCAGCAAATTGGAGAGTTTTCAGCGGTTTAATTAAATGTATTCAGAGCGCAAGGTAGTCACACCTGCAGACTGAATAAGGTAAGTCTAAATACCGAATACTGAGAAAGGCGTGGGTAGGAAAGGTGTAAATTCCTAAATTGGAATCGGCCCCTAACAGATTAGAGATTTAAGAAGTAATCTAAGAGACCTGACCAGCGTGTCCAGATTAGATCCATGATGATATGCAAAACTGGTGACCAGGAGAAATGTCCAAGATACAGTATCAGTAAATGAGATCACAATACGTTTTGAGTTTGAGCTTGTACAGGAACTAATCCGATGCCATCTACTGGTTGTACAGGAACGAATCAGATGCCATCTACTGGTTGTACAGGAACGAATAAGATGCCATCTACTGGTTGTACAGGAACGAATCAGATGCCATCTACTGGTTGTACAGGAACGAATCAGATGCCATCTACTGGTTGTACAGGAACGAATCAGATGCCATCTACTGGTTGTTGAAGGTAATTGAGGATACATTATATCTGTGCTGCTGGGGGTTTACATTGCTGAGAGAGAGCAGTGACCTCACCACATAACCTCAGGAGTTAAAGGGTAAAGTTCACACAGGTGGTCATCAGTCCCCAATCATCAGACTTAGTCCTATGTGTCTGGGGGGCATCCGTGTGTGTGTGTGTGTGTGTGTGTGTGTGAGTGAGTGAGTGTGTGTGTGTGTCTTGGGTGGGAGATCCCACCACAGACATCAGAAAGACTTCTTTCCCACCAATGTTTGTTTCCCACTTCCTACTTACGGTCAAAAACAGGAAGTGAAGATAAAAAAACGGAAAACAGGAAATCAAGATGAATTTGATCCAAAAGGTGCTGGTCTGTACAGTAGACATGTTGTGGGGCAGAAGCATACAGTATCACCTCTGGGATATGAAGTCCAGTGTGGGTCGCACTGACAGGGTCTACAATGAACGACGGCTACAGCCCAGACTACCCAGAAGCCTTTGTGTTGAACGCTCTTGAGGAAGGTTGAGGTCCATTCCTGTGAGGGTCTGTTTGTCAGTTGTTCCTCCCCCTGTCGCACAATGCAGCTTGTTCACGAGGGATGCTGGTAGGTTGGGACTTTGTTCTCCATGGAAACGATGCCCCTCCATCTCCCTAAACTCAGTGTAGAGTGTTACATTCTTCATGTTCTCTACACTGTGACTGATAGCTAAATAAATAAAGTACCATCTATATATCTAATTAGAATCTTAAAGGCAAGCTAAAAATAGCACTTTAAAATGCCTCAATAAGAGTTGCAAGCAAACGTGCAGGATGCAGCCAGTACACACATGAACACAAATATCTATATTAGCTATATAATATCTATATATTTATAAACTCTGGCTTGTGGAAATGATAAGATTTGCGCTGCTACCTCACATAATAGTGATTATGTAAACATCCAAAAAGCCTTTTTTTTTTCATTTTTTTTTCAATAATGTGACCTTTCTCTCTCCTCTCCAGCATGTGCGTGTGTGTGTGTTTTAAAATATTGAATATTTTTTTGCATTACATCTAAGTCATAGACTCTGCTACATATCCATACTTATATACCGTATAACTAGCACGACTGATAGTAACAATAAAAATTGCTTTGGTTTTTGAAAAATAAAGTTGTTTGTCTTCTTAGTTTGGCATAGAGTTTAAAAACTGTCTTCGGAATGACCCGGAATGACCTGACCCCGGGATGAGAAGTAGTGTCTTGTGCTGCGTCCCAAATGGCTCTCTCCCTTTATAGTGAACCACTTTTACCAGGCTCTGGTCAATAAAGGGAATAGGGTGCCATTTGGGATGTAGCCTCGGAATTCTGGGATCGGGGAATGTGGAACGGGGTTTCCACTCAACCGCCCTGGGATTCTGGGATCGGGGAATGTGGAACGGGGTTTCCACTCAACCGCCCTGGGATTCTGGGATCGGGGAATGTGGAACGGGGTTTCCACTCAACCGCCCTGGGATTCTGGGATCGGGGAATGTGGAACGGGGTTTCCACTCAACCGCCCTGGGATTCTGAGATGGGGCATGGGGCAGGGATTCTGAGATGGGGCATGGGGCAGGGATTCTGAGATGGGGCAGGGATTCTGAGATGGGGCAGGGATTCTGAGATGGGGCAGGGGGCAGGGATTCTGAGATGGGGCAGGGGGCAGTGACATTGGGAAGTAAGTAATGCTACTAAAATGCTATGTTATGGTAAATCATGTTATCTTACGTAGTTATGGGGATGGATCTGTGGATCAGCGTGTGTGTGTGTGTGTGTGTGTGTGTGTGTGGCAGGGGGTTTATGCGTGGGCACGTGTGTATGCAGAAGCCTGCATGTATACACGTCTGACTGCGTTTCTGCGTGTATAACATATCTGCATGATGTGTGTGTGTGTATGTATCCCTTCTTGTGTGTGTGTGTGTGTGTGTGTGTATCCCTTCTTGTGTGTGTGTGTGTGTGTGTGTGTGTATCCCTTCTTGTGTGTGTGTGTGTGTGTGTGTGCGTGTGCGTGTGCGTGAATGTATGTGTGTGTGTGTGTGTGTATCCCTTCTTGTGTGTGTGTGTGTGTGTGTGTGTGTGTGTGTGTGCGTGTGCGTGTGTGTGTGTGTGTGTGTGTGTATACTGTAGCTATATAGTTCTCTCTGACTAGGTACAGGAGGGGCTGGTGGCACAGCTCTCCAGTGAGGACTGGGACAGTCGCCGTGTGAGGGGTCCGATGCTGGGGTCAGCCAGAGACGAGGTGGGGAACAGCTTGTACCATCCGCTCACCGTGGCACCAAGGTCCAAGTCATCCAGCATGATCTGAGCCATGCCCATGAAGACCTTGTGGTCCATCCGCCCATAGTCGCCCCACACAATCACCTGGGAGGGAGAGAGAGGTGGGAGAGAGAGAGGTGGGGAGCGAGAGATGTGGGGAGAGACAGAGGTGGGGAGAGAGAGAGGTGGGGAGCGAGAGAGAGAGGGTGGGAGAGAGAGAGAGGTGGGGAGCGAGAGAGAGAGGGTGGGAGAGAGAGAGAGGGAGGGAGAGAGAGAGGTGGGGAGAGAGAGAGAGGGTGGGAGAGAGAGAGGGGGGGAGAGAGAGAGAGAGGGTGGGAGAGAGAGAGGTGGGGAGAGAGAGAGAGAGGGTGGGAGAGAGAGAGGTGGGGAGAGAGAGAGAGGGTGGGGGGAGAGAGAGAAGGTGGGAGAGAGAGAGGTGGGGAGAGAGAGAGAGAGAAGTGGGGAGAGAGAGAGAGAGGGTGGGAGAGAGAGAAGTGGGACGGGAAATGAAGTCAACGCTTTGATTAGCTAACCATCCAAAAAATGGTATCGCTGCTAGAGATGCAATAAAATTAAGTATTTAAAATACAAATTTGGAGGAGAAGAAAAATGTGTTTTTCTGGCCACGCAAGACGAACATATGGGGTTCTCGAACCACAAATCCTATTTCTACCACTTATAGATTGCTATATATAGCTAGGTATTTACCTGTAGGACTTTGGCCTGAGGACTCTCTTCAAACAGCAAGGCCTGTTGGTAGGCGGGGTCTAGAGTCTTCTTCACCACTCTGGTCTTCTTCTTAGCCAGACACGCCCCGTTCTCCAACACATACACCTTTACGTAGGTCGCTGCAGGAAATTAATAATGAAGTTATTTCAATTCAAATTACCTCTGTGACTGGTCAGGATGAACAATAAAGTTGTTTCTATTCAAATGTACCCTGTGACTAGCCAGTGTACAAGAAATTAACAATACAATTATTTCAATTCAAATTAGAAATAAAAGCTGGGGATTTTAACAAAGCAGATTTGAGAAAAACGCTACCGAAGTTCTATCAACACATTGCCTGTAGTACTCGCGCTTCAAAAACTCTCCATCACTGTTACTCCACCTTCCAGGACGGCTACAAGGCCCTCCCCCGGCCTCCTTTCGGCAAATCAGATCACGACTCCATTCTACCCCTCCCTTCCTATAGGAAGAAACTCAAACAGGAAGTACCCGTGCTAAGGTCTATTCAACGCTGGTCTGACCAATCGGAATCCATGCTTCAATATTGTTTTGATCACGCGGACTGGGATATGTTCCCGGGTTGCATTGACGTATACACGGACACGGTGACTGAGTTCATCAGGAAGTGTATAGGGGATGTTGTTCCAACTGTGACTATTAAAACCTACCCAAACCAAAAACCATGGATAGATTGCAACATTCGCGCAAAACTGAAAGTGCGAACCATCGCATTTAACCACGGCAAGGTTACTGGGAATATGGTCTAATACAAACGGTGTAGTTATTCCCTCCGTAAGGCAATCAAACAGGCAAAACGTCAGTACAGAGACAAAGTGGAGTCGCAATTCAACGGCTCAGACATGAGACGTATGTAGCAGGGACTCCAGACAATCACGGATTACAAAGGGAAAACCAGCCACGTCGCGGACACCGACGTCTTGCTTCTGGACAAGCTAAACACCTTCTTCACCCGCTTTGAGGATAACACAGTGCCACCGACGCGGCCCGCTCCCAAGGACTGTGGGCTCTCGTTCTCTGTGGCCCACGTGAGTAAGACATTTAAGCGTGCAAGCTGCCGGCCCAGACGGCATCCCTAGCCGCGTCCTCAGAGCATGCGCAGACCAGCTGGCTGGTGTGTTTACGGACATATTCAATCTCTCCCTATCCCAGTCTGCTGTCCCCACATGCTTCGAGATGGCCACCATTGTTCTTGTACCCAAGAACGCAAACGTAACTGAACTAAGTGACTATCACTCCGTAGCACTCTCTTCTGTCATCATGAAGTGCTTTGAGAGGCTAGTTAAGGATCATATTACCTCCACCTTACCTGACACCCTAAACCCACTTCAATTTGCATACCGCCCCAATAGATCCACAGACGATGCAATTGCCATCACACTGCACACTTCCCTATCCCATCTGGACAAGAGGAATACCTATGTAAGAATGCAGTTCATTGACTATAGCTCAGCATTCAACACCATAGTACCCTCCAAGCTCAGCTGGGTCTGAACCCCGCCCTGTGCAACAGGGTCCTGGACTTCCTGACGGGCCACCCTAGGTGGTGAAGGTAGGAAACAACACCTCCACTACGCTGATCCTCAACACTGGGGCCCCACAAGGGTGCGTGCTCAGCCCCATCCTATACTCCCTGTTCACCCATGACTGCGTGGCCACACACGCCACCAAATCTATCAAGTTTACAGACACAACAGTAGGAGGCCTGATTACCAAAAATGATGAGACAGCCTACAGGGAGGAGGTGAGGGCTCTGGCGGAGTAGTGCCAAGAAAATAACCTCTCCCTCAATGTCAACAAAACGAATGAGCTGATCATGGACTTCAGGAAACAGCCCCTTTCCACATCGACGGGACTGCAGTGGAGAAGGTGAAAAGCTTCAAGTTCCTCGGCGTACACATCACTGACAATCTGAAATGGTCCACCCACACAGACAGTGTGGTGAAGAAGGTGCAACAGCGCCTCTTCAACCTCAGGAGGCTGAAGAAATTTGGCTTGGCCCCTAAGACCCTCACAAACTTTTACAGATGCACAATTGAGAGCATCCTGTCGGGCTGTATCACCACCTGGTATGGCAACTGCACCGCCCGCAACCGCAGGGCTCTCGAGGGTGATGCGGTCTGCCCAACGCATCACAGGGGGCACACTGCCTGCCCTCCAGGACACCAAATCAAATCACATTTTATTTTAATCACATGCGCTGAATACCTTACCGTGAAATGCTTACTAGATAATAAACAGTGAGTAGCAGCAGTGTAAAGACAAAAGGGGGGGGGGGGGAGTGTCAATGCAAATAGTCCGGGTGGCCATTTCATTAATTGTTCAGCAGTCTTATGGCTTGGGGGTAGAAGCTGTTAAGGAGCCTTTTGGACCTAGACTTGGCGCTCCGGTATCGCTTGCTGTGTGGTAGCAGAGAGAACAGTCTGTGACTTGGGTGACTGAAGTCTTTGACAATATTTTGGGCCTTCCTCTGACACTGCCTAGTATAGAGGTCCTGGATGGCAGGAAGCTTGGCCTCATTGATGTACTGGGCTGTACGCACTACCTTCTGTTGCGCCTTACGGTCGGATGCCGAGCAGTTGCCATACCAGGCGGTGATGCAACCGGTCAGGATGCTCTCGATGGTGCAGCTGTAGAACTTTTTGAGGATTTGGGACCCATGCCAAATCTTTTCAGTCTCCTGAGGGGGAAAAGGCATTGTCGTGCCCTCTTCACGACTTTCTTGGTGTGTTTGGAGCATGATAGTTTGTTGGTGATGTGGACACCAAGGAACTTGAAACTCTCGACCCACTCCACTACAGCCCCGTCGATGTGAATGGGGGAAGGTTCACCCCTCCTTTTCCTGTAGCCCACGATCATCTCCTTTGCCTTGCTCGCGTTGAGGGAGAGGTTGTTGTCCTGGCACCACACTGCCAGGTCTCTGACCTCCTCCTTATAGGCTGTCTCATCGTTGTCGGTGATCAGGCCTACCACGTTGTGTCGTAAGCAAACATAATAATGGTGTTGGAGTCGTGCTTGGCCACGCAGTCGTGGGTGAACAGGGAGTACAGGAGGGGACTAAGCACGCACCCCTGAGGGGCCCCCGTGTTGAGGATCAGCGTGGCAGATGTGTTGTTGCCTACCCTTACCACCTGGGGGCGGCCAGTCAGGAAGTCCATGATCCAGTTGCAGAGGGAGGTGTTTAGTCCCAGGGTCCTTAGCTTAGTGATGAGCTTTGAGGGCACTATGGTGATGAACGCTAAGCTGTAGTCAATGAATAGCATTCTCACGTAGGTGTTCCTTTTGTCCAGGTGGGAAAGGGCAGTGTGGAGAGCGATTTGAGATTGCGTAATATGTGGATCTGTTGGGGCGGTATGCAAATTGGAGTGGGTCTAGGGTTTCCGGGAAGATGGTGTTGATGTGAGCCATGACCAGCCTTTCAAAGCACTTCATGGCTACCGACGTGAGTGCTACGGGGTGGTAGTCATTTAGGCAGGTTACCTTCACTTTCTTGGGCACAGGAACTATGGTGGTCTGCTTGAAACATTTAGGTATTACAGACTCAGTCAGGGAGAGGTTGAAAATGTCAGTGAAGACACTTGCCAGTTGGTCTGCACATGGTCTGAGTACACATCCTGGTAATCCGTCTGGCCCCGCGGCCTTGTGAATGTTGACCTGTTTAAAGGTCTTGCTCACATCGGCTACAGAGAGCGTGATCACACAGTCGTTCGGAACAGCTGGTGCTCTCATGCATGCTTCAGTGTTGCTTGCCTCGAAGCGAGCATAAAAGGCATTTAGCCCACCTGGTAGGCTCGCGTCACTGGGCAGCTCGTGGCTGGGTTTCCCTTTGTAGTCCATAATAGTTTTCAAGCCCTGCCACATCCGACGAGCATCAGAGCCGGTGTAGTAGGATTCAATCTTAGTCCTGTATTGAAGCTTTGCCTGTTTGTTGGTTCGTCTGAGGGCATGAACACCTACAGCACCCGATGTCACAGGAAGGTCAAAAAGATAATCAAGGACATCAACCACCCGAGCCACGGCCTGTTCACCCCGCTATCATCCAGAAGGCGAGGTCAGTACAGTTGCATCAAAGCTGGGACCGAGAGACTATCTCTAGGCCATCAGACTGTTAAATAGCCATCACTAGCCAGCTATCACCTGGTTACTCAACCCTGCACCTTAGAGGCTGCTGCCCCATATACATAGACATGGAATCACTGGTCACTTTAATAATGGAACACTAGTCACTTTAATAATGTTTACATACTGCTTTACTCATTTCATATGTATATACTGTATTCTATTCTACTGTATTTAGTCAATGCCACTCCGACATTGCTCGTCCTAATATTTATATATTTCTTAATTCCATTCTTTTACTTTTAGATTTGTGTGTATTATTGTGAATTGTTAGATACTACTGCACTGTTGGAGCTAGGAACACAAGTATTTCACTACACCCGCAATAACATCTGCTAAATATGTGTATGTGACCAATAAAATTTGATTTGATTTATAATATGCCATTTAGCAGAAGCTTTTATCCAAAGCGACTTACAGTCATGTGCGCATACATCTTTACGTATGGGTGGTGCCGGGGATCGAACCCACTACCCTGGCGTTACAAGCGCCATGCTCTACCAATTGAGCTACAGAGGACCACCCAACAATACAAACCTACAGAACGCAATTGTTCATCCCAGATTTGACCTGGGATGAACAATTGCGTTCTGTAGCTTTGTATTGTACCTGGGATAAACAATAAAGTTGTGTAGGTTTGTATTGTACCTGGGACAAACAATAAAGTTATATAGGTTTGTATTGTACCTGGGATGAATAAATGAACAATAAAGTTCTGTAGTTTTGTATTGTACCTGGGATGTTCTTTGACCCTGGTTTAGGGGTCAGTCCTCTGGCCTGGTTGACCTCCACCTCTAGCTGGCCTCCTCTGTCCACCATACCCACATGGATGTCACCTTGAGGAGGAAAACACACACGTTACAGACACACTTTACACACACTCCTCATGTTTAGGGGCAGATGATTTTACTTAGCATGAAACCTGGCCAGGAAAAGCTCTGGGCCAAGTTATAGGCCAGAACTGGGACCACTTTCTCCAGGTCAGGTCGCATTCTGGCCCTATTATGATATCTGATCAGAAAGTGCAGTTTCCAGTGTGCAGTACCGGTGTTGACCAGCAGGAGGCGACAGAAAGCGTCTAGTCTGTTATAACATCTGTTCCACTGTTTTGGCATAGATTACAAATATTTATTTTACTTTTAATTCATTAAAGAAAACACATCTGGTATCTAATCTAATGTGGAGCCATCCCCATATTCATACACCGTCTGGTATCTAATGTGGAGCCATCCTCATATTCATACACCGTCTGGTATCTAATGTGGAGCCATCCCCATATTCATACACCGTCTGGTATCTAATGTGGAGCCATCCCCATATTCATACACCGTCTGGTATCTAATGTGGAGCCATCCCCATATTCATACACCGTCTGGTATCTAATGTGGGGCCATCCCCATATTCATACACCGTCTGGTATCTAATGTGGAGCCATCCCCATATTCATACACCGTCTGGTATCTAATGTGGAGCCATCCCCATATTCATACACCGTCTAGTATCTAATGTGGAGCCATCCCCATATTCATACACCATCTGGTATCTAATGTGGAGCCATCATCATTTTCATACACCGTCTGGTATCTAATGTGGAGCCATCCCCATATTCATACACCGTCTGGTATCTAATGTGGAGCCATCCCCATATTCATACACCATTTGGTATATTTAGATCAGCAAACACTGAAGGGGGAGGAGCTATACAGTTCATTCGGAAAGTATTCAGACCCCTTGACTTTTTCCACATTTTGTTACGTTACAGCCTTATTCTAAAATTGATTAAATTAATAGAATTAATACACTCAATAACCCATAATGACAAAGCGAAAACAGGTTTTTAGAATGTTTATATATATATATTTTTTTTTTATATAAACAGAAATACCTTATTTACATAAGTATTCAGACCCTTTGCTAAGAGACTCGAAATTGAGGTGCATCCTGTTTCCATTGATCATCCTTGAGATGTTTCTACAACTTCATTGGAGTCCACCTGTGGTAAATTAAATTGATTGGACATGATTTGGAAAGGCACACACCTGTCTATATAAGGTCCCACAGTTGACAGTGCATGTCAGAGCAAAATCCAAGCCATGAGGTCGAAGGAATTGTCCGTAGAGCTCAGAGACAGGATTGTGTCGAGGCACAGATCTGGGGAAGGGTACCGAAAAATGACTGCAGTATTGAAGGTCCCCCAAAAAACAGAGGCCTCCATCATTCTTAAATAGAAGAAGTTTGGAACCACCAAGACTCTTCCTAGAGTTGGCCGCCCGGCCAAACTGAGCAATCGGGGGAGAAGGGCCTTGGTCAGGGAGGTGACCAAGAACCAGATGGTCACTCTGACAGAGCTCCAGAGTTCCTCTGTGGAGATGGAAGAACATTCCAGAAGGACAACCATCGCTGTAGCACTCCACCAATCAGGCCTTTGTGGTAGAGTGGCCAGACGGAAGCCACTCCTCAGTAAAAGGCACATGACAGCCTGCTTGGAGTTTGCCAAAATGTACCTAAAGGACTCTCAGACAATGAGAAACAAGATTCTCTGGTCTGATGAAACCAAGATTGAACTCTTTGGCCTGAATGCCAAGCGTCACGTCTGGAGGAAACCTGGCACAATCCCAAGGTGAAGCATGGTGGTGGCAGCATCATGCTGTGGGGATGTTTTTCAGCGGCAGGGACTGGGAGACTAGTCAGGATCGAGGGAAAGATGAACGGAGCAAAGTACAGAGAGATCCTTGATGAAAACCTGCTGCAGAGCGCTCAGGACCTCAGACTGGGGCGAAGGTTCACTTCCAACAGGACAACAACCCAAAGCACACAGCCAAGACAACGCAGGAGTGGCTTTGGGACAAGTCTCTAAACGTCCTTGAGTGGCCCAGCCAGAGCCCGGACTTGAACCCGATTGAACATCTCTGGAGAGACCTGAAAATAGCAGTGCAGCGACGGTCCCCGTCCAACCTGACAGAGCTTGAGAGGATCTGCAGAGAAGAATGGGAGAAACTCCCCAAATACAGGTGTGCCAAGCTTGTAGCATCATACCCAAGAAGACTCGAGGCTGTAATCACTGCCAAAGGTGCTTCAACAAAGTACGGAGTAAAGGGTCTGAATACTTAAGTATATGTGATATTTCAGTTTTTTATTTGTAATAAATTAGCAAAAAAAATTACAAATCTGTTTTTGCTTTGTCATTATGGGGTATTGTGTGTAGATTGATGAGGAAAAAAACGATTTAATCAATTTTTGAATAAGGCTGTAACGTAACAAAACGTGGAAAAAGTCAAGGGGTCTGAATACTTTCCGATTGCACTGTATACACTATAGTAAAGGCATAATGGTATTTATTACATTATCATATCAAAGAAGCTGTTTTCAGACAGAGACTCCAATGATCTGACTTACCCATGGAGGGCGTGGCTAGTGTTTGTCGGCCTACGATCTGGGCGGGGCCTAGTCCATCCAGGAAGTCACTAAACTGGCTCTCTGGACCCATTCGAGTGGGGGGGAAGATAAACCTAGAGAGGGAGAGAGGGAGAGAACGAACAAGTGATGGTTAGATGGTAGCAGGAGACGGTGAGGGCTACAGCATGGACTGAACCATAGCTCCAGTGGTGCAGAGGTGGGCCGTTGGGTACAGGCAGTACAACGCTCACATACAACAGTTACAGAACTAGTAGTATATTAGTAACATACAGTACCAGTCAAAAGTTTGGACACACCTACTCATTCAAGGGTTTTTCTTTATTTTTACTATTTTCTACATTATAGAATAATAGTGAAGACATCAAACTATGAAATAACACATATGGAATCATGTAGTAACCAAAAAAGTGTTAAACAAATCAAAATATATTTTATATTTGAGATTCTTCAAATAGCCACCCTTTGCCTTGATGACAGTTTGCACACTCTTGGCATTCTCTCAACCAGCTTAACCTGGAATGCTTTTCCAACAATCTTGAAGGAGTTCCCACATATGTTGAGCACTTGTTGGCTGCTTTTCCTTCACTCTGCGGTCCGACTCATCCCAAACCATCTCAATTGGGTTGAGGTCGGGGGATTGTGGAGGCCAGGTCATCTGATGCAGCACTCCATCACTCTCCTTCTTGGTAAAATAGCCCTTACACAGCCTGGAGGTGTGTTGGGTCATTGTCCTGTTGAAAAACAAATGATAGTCCCACTAAGCCCAAACCAGATGGGATGGCATATCGCTGCAGAATGCGGTGGTAGCCATGCTGGTTAAGTGTGCCTTGAATTCTAAATAGATCACAGACAGTGTCACCAGCAAAGCACCCCCACACCATAACACCTCCTCTTCCATGCTTTACGGTGGGAACTACACATGCGGAGATCATCCGTCTCACAAAGACATGGTGGTTGGAACCAAAAATTCTCCAATTTGGACTCCAGACAGAAGGACACATTTCCACCGGTCTAATGTCCATTGCTTGTATTTCTTGGCCCAAGCAGGTTCCTTCTTTTTATTGGTGTCCTTTAGTAGGGATTTATTTGCAGCAATTCGATCATGAAGGCCTGATTCACACAGTTCCCTCTGAACAGTTGATGTTGAGATGTGTCTGTGACTTGAACTCTGTGAAGCATTTATTGCTGGTTGAGAGAATGCCAAGAGTGTGCAAAGCTGTCATCAAGGCAAAGGGTGGATATTTGAAGAATCTCAAATATAAAATATATTTAGATTTGTTTAACACTTTTTTGGTTACTACATGATTCCATATGTGTTATTTCATAGTTTTGATGTCTTCACTATTATTCTACAATGTAGAAAATAGTAAAAATAAAGAAAAACCCTTGAATGAGTGGGTGTGTCCAAACTTTTGACTCTTGGTGTACGTTCTGTCTGCGTTGTTGGAGTTGGTGATGCAGTCGATGGACTCCTTGCTGCTATAGTATACTGTACTGTTATATAGTATAATGTAGTATAGTGTAGTATTAAGGTAGTATTTTGTAACGCAAATTCCGTCAAAGCTGTTAAGAGTTGGTGCTGGATGGATAGATGGATGGTAATATAATGATAGATGGATGGTAATATAATGATAGATGGATGGTAATATAATGATAGATGGATGGTAATATAATGATAGATGGATGGTAATATAATGATAGATGGATGGTAATATAATGATAGATGGATGGTAATATAATGATAGATGGATGGTAATATAATGATAGATGGATGGTAATATAATGATAGATGGATGGTAATATAATGATAGATGGATGGTAATATAATGATAGATGGATTGGTAATCATAATCGATAGATGGATGGGTAATATATTGATAGATGGATGGTAACTATGATTGCTAGTCTGGATGGTCACTACTAACCTGACTAGACTGGATACGGTAATATAACTGATACGACTGGATGCTTAACTATCCAATTGATACGCCTTGGATGGATCAGAATGATAGATGGATGATATAAGCTGTAGATGGATGGAACTATAACTGATAGATTGGAATGGTGAATATACATGCATAGATGGATGAGTAAATATACCTGATACGATGGATGGTTCATATAAATGACTCAGATGGACTGGAATTACTTACTGACTCAGCATGGATGGTAATAATGAAGATACTCGACTGGATGGTAATATATGTAGAGATGGTAATTAATGATAGATGGATTGTAATTAATGATATGGTGGTTATTATTGATGATGGTGGTTTATGTGTGTGCTGGTCGTCTCTGGTAGTGGATGGTTATATGTGTGGTGGTATTACAATGTAGGTGGATGGTTTTGTAGTGGTGGTTTCTGACAGTTGGTGGTAAATTTGTAGGTGGTGGTTTTGTATTGTGGAAATTTGTGTGGTGTGGTTCTGTGTGGATTGGGATTGTGATGGTGGTTTTTGTGTAGTCTTTTCGTGGTGGTTGGAATTGGGCTGCCGTCGGTGGAATCCTTGCTGCCTGTCGCGTGACTCGGGTTCCTTTCCTCCACGGGCGATGCCCGTTCGTGCTCCTCTTCGTGCTGCGCAGCTTTCTTCGCTTTGTTCTTTCTGTAAATAAGAGGGCGGGTCAAGGTTAAAGGTTAAGGTTGTTAAGGGTTTTAAGGGGTTAAGGTTAGGGTTTTAAGGACCCCCTAAGACCATTCAGAAGACTTCTGGTATCTAGTATCGAAGGACTGTATCGGACAACAACGAGTCGAGGTTTAAAGGTGCACTATGCAGAAATCGCTCCGCCATTTCATGGTTGATAAAATACGAATAGTTAACCTAGTTTCAGTTTATGTGACAAAAACAAGCATAGAGAATGTAGAGAATCATTGTACCGTCTAAAACGCTGTGAAATATATTTTCAATAACCAAAAAATATTGTAGTTTTAGCTGTTTGAAGCTGGTGTACGAAACTGAAAGTAAAAGTAAAATTAAGCACGGGAAGCATAGAAATAGCACACATAGATCAGATCTACCACTTCTTAGACTCACTTTCAATGCGAATAACATATCTATAACTCACAGTTCATATGAAATGGGTTGGGTTGCCCAAAAAGTTACATATTGCAGCTTTAAAGAATGTCAAATAAGCCAACGCCAGCAGTGTTTAAATGGAAAACCTGTGCTGTTCCCTTAAAATGTTTATTATTTCTTCAACTTAAATTACACACATAAACACTCATAAACATCCCACAATTCTTCCGTTAAGTGATAACAAACCATTGTGTGTGTTGATTCTGTATCTAATTGTAGCCTTACTTTCTGCCTCGGTTGTAGGTCACACAGATCCAGAGATTATTAGCGGTATTAGGGGAGACATACCGACACACGCACACACACGCACACGCCACACACACACCACACACACACACACACACACCACACCACCCCACAACCACACCACACACACAACACACACACCACACACAACACACACACACAGTAGTACTGTTGACACGGTGACCCGATAACACAGTTTGTTCAGAAGGGTCAAGGGTCACTCAAGCATTCACACTAGTTCCCCATCAGTTCCACCAGAGGCCGGTCGTCTACATTCACACTAGTTCCCCATCAGTTCCACCAGAGGCCGGTCGTCTACACTCACACTCTCTCAATTATCTTTCTCACCAAATCTCTCTCTTGCTTTATTCTCTCTTTATCATCTCTCTCCATCTCTCTCCATCTCTCTCCATCTCCCCCTCTCCCTCTATCTCTCTCCATCTCTCTCCATCTCTCTCCATCTCTCTCCATCTCCCCCTCTCCCTCTATCTCTCTCCATCTCTCTCCATCTCCCTCCATCTCTCTCCATCTCCCCCTCTCCCTCTATCTCTCTCCATCTCTCTCCATCTCTCTCCATCTCCCTCCATCTCTCTCCATCTCTCTCCCTCTATCTCACGTCCACACACACACAGTAGTGCAGCTTTTTACAATTACTTTGGCACTAATTTCAGAACCTTAACATCATTTTTCAAAACTCTAGACACAAAACTCAAAACGGTCATCACTTGTAACACAGGCTGTCCAATGTTCAAAACATTGCATTGTGCGTTCATATATTTAAAGAAATCTTGCACTTGCACAATCATTGGTTAAAAAAAACAAATGTATTGTGAAATACCAATGAAACGTTAATTTAGATCACCCACACACAAGCAACCGATAGTTTCACTGTGTCATTGTTCGTACAATCATTAAATATTGTAGTACAAAATAGGTGATACATGTTTCATAATGGTACTACATGTAAATACATCCCTGTAAAAGTACTGCAGTAGTAGAGAGAATACTACAGACACTGTGGAATCATTGAACAAAATCTGAAATATATTGATGAAAAACAATACAGTACTGTAAAACATCAAATGCAGTGTTCCTCAACTTGCTTGCTTGTGCTGTAAAAAGCAAAACATAGGAGTGATTACTGTATTTCTACATTTTCATCTACTCTGTCTTGTGGATTTGGCCACAGGTTCTCATCTACATCACAATGGATGTTTTCATTAGCCAAACATCTTGGAAAAAACCTTCGGGCATGGCGAATCCAGGCCTGACACTGGTCTGCCGTGATGTCATTGCATGCGTCATCCTTGGCCTGGAGAAGAGTGACTTGTTCATGAGGGCGCCTATCATAAACCTTCCATCTCCATGTGGAGAAAAATTCCTCAATCGGGTTAAGGAAAGGAGAGTAGGGGGTAAATACAGGGTGGTAAATTGTGCATGGGCCTGAAACCATGCTTGCCCCATATGAGCATGGTGGAACCTGACATTATCCCACACATGACATAGGTCACGCCACCAGCTCTACAGGCCTGATCGGCGAGCTCATCAAGGAAGGTTTACAAGGAGAGCTGCATTATATGATCCAATACGAGGTCTTGCGTCCCACCAACACCATCTTCTGATATAGCCACACACATGTGGCACATGTGTCTGTGTGTGTGTGTGTGTCCTATGTTTGTGTGGTGTGTGTGTGTGTGTCTGGTGTGTGTGTGTTGGTGTGTGTGTGTGTGTGTGTGGGTGTGGTGTTGTGTGTGTGTGTGTGTGTGTGTGTG